AGGACCCTGTCCACTTCCTCAGGGCCAACAGGATCAAACCGTTCCCAGATAACTGGGTAAGTCTGCTCCCCAGGCATCTCCACTGGACCCACCTCATGCTTGGCCTCCAACTGAGAATGGATCTGAGCAATTTTATCCATCAGATATTCAGCAAATTCCTCTACACGGGCCTCTAGATAGTCCTCCGAGCCCTCCCTACCCAGGAGGGACTGAGTGACCCTGAACAGGTGCCAGGTAACACTCTGAGGATACAATAAGAATGGAGAAATAATGGTGTTTCGCCGCTCTTACCGCCACAAGGTAGGCCTTAATAGCGGCTCTAACCTGTGTTCGGTCAGACTCATCTCTAGTTTTCCACCAGTGGTGCTCAAGATATCTCTTGGCCTTTTTCAGCAACCTTAACTCCTCTGTAAACCAGAGGAGGTGATGGGCCAAGAGAAGCCACACAGGTGCGATCCTGTCCAAGGCCCCAGCCGCCTCCTTATTCCAGGCTGCAGCCAGGGCCTCCACTGGACCGTGCAGCAAGGCCTCAGGAACAGTCCCCAGCTTCCTCTGGAGCCCTTGCAGGTCCATCAGTCACTGGGGGCAGACCGTTTGAATAGGTCCCACCTCCCTACAGAGGGGGGCAGCATAGGAGAATCTCAAGGCCACAAGGGAGTGGTCTGAGCATTACAGAGGGAATAATATCAAATCCCCCACCAGATCACTCTGCCACTGCTCTGACAAGAAAACCATGTCTGGAATGTGACCACTGTCCTGATTTGGGCCATAGATGACCTGGGATAGGCCCACGGCTGCCATGGTAGCCATGAACTCCCAAGCCGCCATCGAGGCCAACCCCAGGGATGGCATAAAGTCCCCCAAGACCATAATCCTGGGGATTGCCACTGCCAACCCTGAGATGGCCTCCAGCAGCTCAGACAGGGAGGTTGCTATGCAGGAGGGAGGCTGGTACAGAAGCAAAACTCCTAACTGATCCCGTATGCCTAACCTCAGGAACAGGGTCTCACATCCAGCATCTTGTGGAGCAGAGCTCCAGAAGGCCAACAGAGATTCCCAGATGACCACTGCCTCCCCCCCTCCCCTGCCTTCGGGTCTCAGCTGGT